ATTTAATTGAATTATTTATATTAGTAATCTAAACATTATCATTACACACAAATATTTTTATTATATAGTTATAGATTTATAGTTAAAAAGAGCTACAATATAGTAAAATTGTATGAGAAAATTTTTTTGTTAGAGTCAAAAGATCGATTTACTAGTCTAAATTTAAAATAAATACAATTTTTACAAAGCAAACTTTTGTTTTGAATTTTCTGATTGTATTACATTACACCTAATTCTGATTTTTGATTGGTTAATTTACATCAAAAAATTATATGAATGGAAAATTGATTATATACTCTAGTGTTGTCTATATTTTTTAAAATATAGCAAAAATATTTAATTTTTATTTATTTGTAAAATAATTGATAATACAAAACAATACTATTTCCATGTAAGCTTAATTCTAACTAGTAGCAAAGTAATAACAACAAATACTATAACTAAATACTACTACAAAATAACTCAAAAAAAAAGACTCAAATAATGATACTGAAAGTGCTGAAATCCATTACAAAAACTTCAAAAATATTAACAAAAATGATGACAATACTACAGTCAAGGATTTTACCAAATATGGAAATTGAATCTAAAATAATCTGCAAGAATTTGATTGGATACTTTTTTGCATTTTTTTCATTTTTCAAATAAAAAATTAAAACTTCTTGTATTACCTATATAAGAACAATAATTATATAAACCGTAAATAAAAAAACTTTTTTTCAGGATCAATAAATAACATTTTAGAATCAGCACTTGGTAAAAAAGTAAATGAAACTTAAAATCTGATTTTTCAAGCAAATTTTATATATAAAACTAACAGGTTTTTTTTTTTTTAAGTTTTACACTATAGCACAAGAGCTAATAAAGATATCGCAGTCAATACGACCAAATGCAGACGAACTTCCATGCATTTTCAAAGTTCTAGTTGGTACTTATAGCAAAAAAATTAGGTTAAGTCCTTGTAGAATGAAGGCATTACAAATTTGGAGATACACAGACAGTCCAGCAGCAGTTAAGTGACTCTAATTATATCACTCTTTTATATCTGAACTCATAGATCTTCATCCTTTATTGAGTTCTTATTCGATATGCGAAATATATTATAATCAACTTATCTTTAAAGATCATTTTTACTAGTGGTTATTAAATAACTTATCTTCCTCGTCTTCCCCATCATCTACTCACCAAGCTAAAAGATCTTGAACTGATACTAACTCTAATAATAATTCTGAGTCTATTTCTAGAATTAATGAAGAGGCAATTAACGTTAACATTGGTAGGTCCCACCTGTGGTTGGAGTCTGAAAGAGCCAAAAACTTGCTTGATAAAAGCCGAATTGAAAGTCAAAAAGATAGTAAAGATATAACGCACATTAGTAATGTGATTATGGAATTACTGATACGAGTCAAAATTCAAAACGGGGAGATAATGAAGTTGAAAAATAAAATAAATAAATATTGTAAGAAGATAGTTCAATTAAAGGATCTATGTCAGAAAAAATATAAGGAGAATGAGAAACTCATTGAACAATGGAATTTCTAATATAATAGCCAGCATAAATATATAGAGGAAGTCATTAAGATCGCACAACATGAACGAGAAAATTTATATGAAGAGGTTGAATTTTTAATAAGAGATAGTAATAGATTTTCTTTAGAAAATCTATTAAACTATAGTCCACAAACATGGCTAAATAAACGCAATCAAGTTGTTGTTAAATTTATTGAGATACTAATCTACAATAATCTTAATATAGATTTCTCAAGTACTAAAAAAATTTTTCAAAAGGGCAATGGCTGTCAATTTAATATATAGGTTTAGGCATGGAAAATATGTATCAGAAATAAATTTTGTAGCATCAGCTATCAAATACTCTATTGTGCGATTGAAAACTATTATTAATATTGATAACCATATTACGTGTTTAGATCAGTATTTAATTTTATGCTTTTACTATTAACATTTATTTCATAAATACTAAATTAAATAATAATAATATCATATATAGGAAGTTACTTGATAATGAGCAGAAAGGACAGCAAAATTATCTTGATAGAGGAATAAATGCAGTAATATTTCATATTGTTACTAGTTTTGTTACGTTTAATATGGAATCACAAAATCGTATTCAATATACTGAACCTTGTGCATTTAATTCTCTTAATAGGCCACAATATGAGAATCTTTTTGAAATTATATTAGAAATGCAAAAAGCAATAGATCAAGAATTATCTACTTATCTTACTGAAATTCTTGAACTATTGTGTGAAGAAAAACTATCTAAGACTAATAAAATTGATTCTCTTGTAGCTAGTACAGGTTTAGATAGCTGTTGCGATAAACAATGCCCTAACTATGGAGAACGAAATATTGAAAATCGAAAACAAATTTGCCTTAAATGCGAACTTGTCTACCAGTATTGTTAGAATTATTTAAACAAGATGTTTTAGGGTTAGAGAAAAGTGCCAAAGAACAATCAGTTATCTTTAAACCATATTTTGTTAAAAAAAAAACTAGATCACTTACTATAACAAGAATTAGCATTACTCAGAAATCATCTGTGGACCAGGGAGTTAATATTTCAGAAATTTTTGTTCCAGATCCTTAGTGTTCCTATTGAACCTAGGTTCAAAGTTCATGAACATGTTCAAAGTTTTGAATAAAGAAAAAAGCATATAAT